GGGCCCTTTCCCCCTCGGGCTGCTTCGTTTGTTTTTTGGTTTGTCTCGTTTTGGAACCCCCTTTTGGTATTTTCCCGAGAAATTTCAATCGGGGTTTCTCTTGGAGGTTTCCTGTTCCGAAATGTTTCCGCCGAAAATTCAGCTTAAATTGGCCCGGTTTTCCCTCACCCTTCGATTACCCCCCTTTTCCCCTCTAAAAATTTACAAATCTCGTCCCTCTCTTACCTATTTCTGTTATGTTTTCTAAATCTCCTTCCTTTTTTCCCCTGTTTCCCTTTTCGTGTGTGTCCTTTCCTCTCTCTCCAAAGCCCAGGATAAACATTTTGGATTTTGCCCTTTCTTCCTCGCTTTCCCTTCACCCTCTGGGGCTCGGGTTTCCTGCCTGTGTGGGTCAGTTTCCCCCTTGATTTTTCAGTGGCTCTTGATAGCCTTGTTGTGCCTAAAGCATTCGCCCCTAAAAACCCTCCCCATCTCCCAACCAGTTGATCTTACCTTTCCCCCTTTGGTCCCCCTTGGCTTTTTGATGTGGCCTTAGCAAAAATTTTAAAATTTCCCTTTCCTTCCTTTTCACCCCTCGCAGCTTAAATATGCTGTGTCTTCTCTGGTAAATTGCCCCTGAAAATCGCTCCCCCAGCCAAATTTATCTCAACTTTTTGGGGACCCTTATCTTGGTATTTGCAGTTTCGATTGTGCCTCCCAATTCTTTGTCCCCTTTCCCTCCAACCACCTTTCCAATTTCACGAAAAGTCTTTCTCCCTTTTTTCAGAAAGCCTCCTAATTTTCTCTTTCCCACTCTTGTTTCCATCCTTTTCCACTGCTCCTTTCCCTCCCCCTCCTTTCCCAAACCCCCCCATTTCATTGATCCCTTTGGGCCCCGCAGTTTCCCCCCCCTTTTTTTTTTTTTTTTTTTTTTTTTTTTTTTTTTTTTTTTTTTTTTTTTTTTTTTTTTTTAAGAGGGAGGAGAGGGAGAGTTTAAAAAGGGGAAAAAAGGGGGGCGAGAGAGAAACAAGAGAGGGGAGAGAGCAAGAGGGGAGAGAGAGCAAGAAAAAAGAAGAGCAGGAGAGAGAGAGAGCAAAAGAGAGAGGGAAGAGAGAGAGAGCAAAAAGAGGAAAAACAAGAGAGGGGGAGAGAGAAGAAAAGAGAGCCCAAAAGAGAAGAGAGAGCAAAGAAAAGGGGCAAAAGAGAGAGAAAAGCAAGGGGAGAGATTTCAAAAGAGAGGAGAGCAAGAAGCGAGCAGAGAGAGAGAGAGCAAGGGAAAAAAAGGGGGAGACAAAAGAGAGAGCATGAGAGGGAGAGCAAGAGGGGGGAGAGAGCAAGAAGAGAGAGAGAGAGGAAAGGGGAGCGAGAGGGGAGCAAAAAGAGGAGAGAGCAAGAAAAGGAGAGAGCAAAAGAAGAAGAAGCAAGAGGGGAGAGAGAGCAAGGAGAGAGAGAGAGCAAGAGAAGGGGCAAAAAGAGGGGGAAAAGCAAGGAGAGAAAAGGGAAAAGAGAGGGGAAGCAAGAGAGAGAGAGGAGCAAAAAAGGGGAGAGAGAGCAAAAAGGGGAGAGACCCAAAAGAGAAAAGCAAGAGAGAGAGCAAAAGAGAGAGAGAGCAAGAGAAGAGAGAAAAGGGAAAAAGGAGCAAGAGAGAGGAGAAACAGGAGAGAGAGAAGCAGGGGAGAAAAAGAGAGCAAGAGAGGAGAGAGAGCAAGAGAGAGAGCAAGAGAGGGGGAAACAAGAGAAGAGGGGCAAAGAGAGAGGGGAGGAGAAAAAGAGAGAGCCAAAAGAGAGAGAGAGAGCAAGAGGGGGAGAGAGCAGAGAGAGAGAGGAGAGAGCAAGAGAGCGAGGAGAGAAGAGAAAAGAGCAAGAGAAGAGAGAGAAAGAGAGAGAGAGAGCAAGAGAGAGGGGCAAGAGAGAGAGAGGCAAAAAGAGAGAGCAAAAGAGAGAGAGAGAGCAGAGAGAGAGAGAGCCCAAAAAGAGAGAGAGAGCAAGAGGGGAGAGAGAGAGCAAGAGAAGAGAGAGCAAAAAAAAGAGAGAGAGCAAAGGAGAGAGAGCAAGAGGAGGGGGAGAGCAAAAGGGGGGAAAAGCAAAAAGAGAGAAACAAAAAGAGAAGCAAGAAAAGAGAAAAGGGGCAAGAGAGAGAGGGCAGCAAAAAAGAGAGAGAGAAGCAAGAGAAAGAGACAAGAGGAGAGAGGGGAAGAGGAGAGGCAAGAGAGAGAGCCCCAAAAGAGAAGAGAGCAAGTAGAAGAGAGAGCAAGAAGAGAGGGAGCAAGAGAGAGAGAGAGAGAGAGCAAGGGGAGAGAGCAAGAGAGAGAGAGAGAAAAAAGGGAGCGAGAGAGAGAGAGAGAAACCCAAAAGAGAGAGAGAAAAGAGAGAAGAGGGGGAGAGAGAGAAGAGAGGAAAAGAGAGAGAGAGGGAGGGAGGGAGGGGGGGGGAGGGGGGAAAGGGGGGAAAAAAGGGAAGGGAAATAGGGGGGGAGAAGGGGGGGAAAAAGGGGGGGGAGGGAAAAAGCGAGAGGGGAGAGAGGAAAAGGGGGGGGGAAAGAGGGGGGATGGAGAAAAGGAGAGGGGGAGGGGAAAATGGGAGGGGGAAAAATTTTTAGAGGGGGAGAGAAGTTAGGGGGGGGGGAGGTGTTAGAGGTAAGAGATGGGTTGAAGGGGGGAAAAATGGGAGGGGAAAGAGAGAGAAGTTTGGTAGAGAGGAAAATTAGGTTAAAAGTAGGAGGGAGAATAAGTCCCTTAGTGCCCGGGAAAAAGGGGGGGGGAGGAGAAAGGTTCAGAGGGGCCCGTTCTCAGGCGGTTTTTGAAATCCTGTGTATGTGTGTTTTCCCGGGGTACTAAGCCTTTAAAAAGTTTTTGTTCCTGTGTGGTATTTTTGTGTGTGTATGTGGTATGGGTTGTGTGTATTGTGTGTGTGTATTTTTGTGTGTATGTGTTGTATGTTGTGGTGTGTGTGTGTGTTGTGTATGTGTATGGTTTTGTGTGTGTGGGGTGTGCGTGTGTGTGTGTGTTGTGGGGTGTTTTGTGTTTTGTGGTGTGTTTTTTGGGGTGCGTGCCCCCCCCCTTCTAAGTATTCAAACTGCTAATAAATTCCGGTAAATACCAGTAAATTCTAAAAATTTCCCAAAAGTGATTCCCAGCACTTAACGCTTCACTTATAAAAAACAAAATAATTAGTTTTTAAAATTTTTTTCTTGGGCCCGAGTTTAGGAGGTCTACCCTCACTAGGGTTCCCCTCCCCTAAAGCTGCTCCCTCGCTAGTTAAAAACCCCATCTTCACCTTTTTCTATGCTATTTCCTGCTCTAATTCTGGTAATTAGCTTGCAGGAGTGAAATGACCAGTATTAACAGTGCTCAAGGCAGGATTTAGGACCCCCCAAAAAAAACCCCCAAAAGGTGGTATTTTAAGCCCGGCAGTATGCGATGACAAGTTTTCCAGATGCTGATGACGTAGCCTTTATCACTATTTTTTAAAATTTTTCACCTGTGTTTTTTAAAAACCGTATAAAGCTCAGGATCCCGCGTCCCCCAGTGACACTTATGATAGAGTTTCACTTCACTTATATTGGGGAAAACACTTCACATTTGGTGTTAAATTTTAAAATGTAAAATTTAGGCAACTGTTGTGACGTCACTGATTCGCAGGCCAAATGCCCCTTTCCCTTGTGTGTGTGTGTGTGGTGTGTGTGTGTGTGTGTTGTGTGTGGTGTGGTGTGTGTTTTGGGTGTGTGTGTGTGTGTGTGTGTGTGTTGTGGGGTGTGACTCACCCCAAACAATATTTTTCACCCCAAAAACCCCATTACAGTTGTGACCGGGTGTGGGAAATGTGAATTGGCCCTTACTCTATTTAATTTTTTCATTTATTGTAGCCAAAGTAATTTAAAAAAAAGTAACCAAATTTTACAGAAATTTTATTACCTTTTTAACTTGTGAGCTCAAATTTCCTTGTACCATTTTAGCTTAAAAAAAAAAAAATTTGGGGGCCCAGTCCCTGGGCCCTTTTCGTACCTCTGTAATTTTGAAAAAACCTTTGTAAATTGTCATGATTGTGACCCGACTTACCTGGAGTTATTACATTTGTTTAAATTTTGAGTTTTATTACCCTTTGGGAAATTGTAGTTCATTTTCCTTTTTAAATTTTTTGGAGTTCTTTTCCCCTGTAACTTTCTCACTACCCAAAAATTTTTTTTGGGGTCCGTCCCGGGGCCAATTTTGTACCTCTGAATCTTTTTACTACCCCCCCAGGAAGGGGGATTGGGGGGGGCATAATAAAAATTTAAAAATAAAATAAAATTTCAATATACAAAAAACCCCCCACATAAAAGAGAGGACTTTCGACACGTTTTTGGGCGGGGACTTGGGGGCTATTTATAAAGTGACAGTCCAAGTCGACAGAAAAGTCGTTTGTAAGCTCCTCTCTTCATGTGCAGGTTATTTTTATATTTTCCCGTCATGTTTTTGTGTCTTGTTTTTTTATTAAATGGCTTTCTTTTTTGCCTAGTAATTTTTTTTTACATGCAAAAATTCATTTTTTTTAACCCCATAAATAGATATTTTTAATTTTTGTGTAGAAAATTGAAACCCAAATTTTTCCTTGCGATATTGTTTTTTAAATTGCTTTAAATTTTAAAGATGAGTCATAAGTAATTAAGTAATTTAGGGAAATTTATCGAGTAAGTTTATTTTGGCACAGGGACCAGAAAATACAATTTTCTACATAATTTTTAAAATTTCCCAGGAAAAACCCCAAAAAAATCGGGGGCAGAGAAAGTTTAAATTAAAGGGAATGTGTGGGCTGTTTCTGGGGCTGGGGGGACCCCTCAAGGAAAGGTTCCTTGATGTTGGGAGGGGCCCCCTTTTATTTAGGGAATTGGGTCTGTGCCCATTTCCCCGAATTAAGCCTGAATGCCTTCCACCTCCCCCCCCCAAGGCGCTGTATAATCCTCCGGGTTTAGCGCTTCCCCTTGATTCTAATAATAATAATGGGGCTGGGGCAAGTTTTTTAGCTTAATATTTTTATTATGCAGGTCCAAGAGATGTTTCTTCACTGAACATGACGAAGCTAAGGCTCGACACAGCCTAAGTTATTAGTGGCTTTTAATAAAATCTCAAGCTTCAGAAGAATGGTTTCCCGTGATTCATGGCTCAGTAAGACACATGCTTTAGTGGGCCCTAACAACACCAATCCCAACAACAGCAACATCAACTGCAGGTTAACTTTATTCTTGTCAGTTTTATTGTTAAAGCAGAGTTGCTGGTTGAGATAGGAAGGTTGACAGTTGTGGTGGTGGGGATGGAAGTCTTGACTGTTGCTATATTGTTAACAGAGGGAGGAGAGTAGTCCTTGTACAGCTAACAGTCTGGTACCTATTATTGTATGATCCTCTTTTTATTTATTTATTTATTTATTATAAATTTGTGCACACATACAGAGGTACAAAAAAATACAGATAAGAGCAGTATGCCAAAGCCACTTATACTATGCATAGCATTACGGGCTGGCTTAAAATTAACTTAAGATTAACTAAGCAATGATGAAGTCAGTGATAAAACATTAATGTAAACAGATTACTATAAAGCACAAGTGAGTATTACAAAGACAGGTCATATGAAGGATTCTGTTAGGTAGTGTATTTAAAAAATAATAAAGTTAGATTGGGTTTTAGGTTTAACATTTATGTGATATAATTGTGAGAAACATTTAAGATATACAATTTATAAGGTTCAGTTATTCAGTATTTATTTGGTTTTGGGTGAGTAAGTGATCTTTGAGTAGAGACTTGAATTTATAAACAGGTAGTGTTTCTTTTATATTTACAGGTAATGTTATTCTGAATAACTCAGTTTACCTTATTCATAGTACATCTTTTATTGTAACTGATTTTCACATACTTGAGTTACTTTGCTGTTTTAACTTCCAAGGTTTAAATAATATAATATTACATGGACCCCAATGGAAATAAATCACTTTGACTTTTTTTTTTTTTTGGGGGGGGGGTTTATCCTAGGTAATTTATACTATGATAATTGTACTTATCTGTACCTGTGCCTAAATAAACTTATTAACTAACTAGTGTCACTTGGTGTTAGGTGCTCTGTGTATCTGAGAGTAACACTGTATCACCTGCTGTTAGGTGCTCTGTGTATCTGAGAGTAACACTGTATCACCTGCTGTTAGGTGCTGTGTGTATCTAAGAGTAACACTGTATCACCTGCTGTTAGGTGCTCTGTGTATCTAAGAGTAACACTGTATCACCTGCTGTTAGGTGCTTTGTGTATCTAGGAGTAACACTGTATCACCTGCTGTTAGGTGCTCTGTGTATCTAGGAGTAACACTGTATCACCTGCTGTTAGGTGCTTTGTGTATCTAGGAGTAACACTGTATCACCTGCTGTTAGGTGCTCTGTGTATCTAAGAGTAACACTGTATCACCTGCTGTTAGGTGCTCTGTGTATCTGAGAGTAACACTTACTTCTCAGGTAACTACCAAATCTCAACAATGGTACATTGATTCATTTTTAATTAATTTTCTCTTTGTGCTGTGACCTGTATGGACTTAGCGCTTATTTTTTTCAATACAGTGGACCCCCGGTTTGCGATATTAATTCGATCCTGAGAGCTCATCGTAAACCAAAATTATCGGAAAGCAAATCAATTTTCCCCATAAGAAATAATGGAAATCAAATTAATCCGTGCAAGACACCCAAAAGTATGAAAAAAAAAAACTTTTACCACGTGAAATATTAAGTTTAATGCACACAAACTGAAGACATGCACAGTTTGTAGTATGTACTCTACTAACAATAGAATGCATGACACTTACCTTTAATGAAGATCTGGTGATGATTGATGGGATGGGAGGAGGGGAGAGTGTCGAACTTATTGTTTAGAAGGGGAATCCCCTTCCATTAGGACTTGAGGTAGCAAGTCCTTTTCCGGGGTTACTTCCCTTCTTCTTTTAATGCCACTAGGACCAGCTTGAGAGTCACTGGACTTCTGTCGCACAACATATCTGTCCATAGAGGCCTGTACCTCTCATTCCTGTATGACTTTCCTAAAGTGCTTCACAACAGTGTCATTGTACAAGTTGCCAACACGGCTTGCAGTAGCTGTGTGAGGGTGATTTTTATCAAAAAAGCTTTGCACTTTAAGCCACATTGCACATATTTCCTTAATCTTTGAAGTAGACAACTTCTTCAATTTCTCTATCCCCTCCTCCGAAGCAGTTTCCTCAGGTCTGGCCTCTTGCTGTTGAAGATGATCTAGCAGCTCATCAGTGGTTAGTTCGTCATTGTCCTCCTCCACCAACTCTTCCACATCCTCCCCACTAACCTCCAACCCCAAGGACTTCCCCAATGCCACAATGGATTCCTCAGCTGGCATAGGATTCACAGGGTTAGCCTCAAACCCTTCGAAATCCCTTTTGTCTACACATTCTGGCCACAGTTTTTTCTAGGCAGAGTTCAAGGTCCTCTTAGTCACTCCCTCCCAAGCCTTACCTGTAAGGTTTACACAATTGAGGATATTAAAGTGATTCTTCCAAAACTCCTTTAGAGTCAATAGAGTGTCTGTGGTCACTTCAAAGCACCTTTCAAACATAGCTTTTGTGTACAGTTTCTTGAAGTTGGAAATGACCTGCTGGTCCATGGGCTGCAGGAGAGGAGTGGTATTAGGAGGCAAAAACTTGACCTTAATGAAGCTCATGTCCCCAGAAAGTCACTCTGCCAAGTCTGTAGGATGACCAGGGGCATTGTCTAATACCAGGAGGCACTTAAGGTCTAATTTCTTTTCAATTAGGTAATTTTTCACATTGGGGCAAATGCATGGTGTAACCAGTCACAGAAAAAGTCCCTAGTGACCCATGCCTTAGTGTTTGCCCTCCACAGCACACACAAATTAGCCTTGAGGATATTCTTTTTCTTGAATGCTCTGGGAGTTTCTGAGTGATACACCAATAAAGGCTTCACTTTGCAATCACCACTAGCATTGGCACACATGAGAAGAGTAAGCCTGTCTTTCACTTGCTTATGTCCTGGGAGTGCCTTTTCCTCCTGAGTAATGTAGGTCCTGCTTGGCAATTTCTTCCAAAACAGGCCTGTTTCGTCGCAATTAAACACTTGTTCAGGTTTCAAGTCTTCACTGTCTATGTAATCCTTGAATTCCTTCACATATTTTTCAGCTACTTTTTGGTCTGAACTGGCAGCCTCACCATGCCTAATTACACTATGTATGCCACTATGATTCTTAAATCTTTCAAACCAACCTTTGCTGGCCTTAAATTCACTCACATCACCACTAGTTGCAGGCAATTTCTTTACTAAATCGTCATGCAACTGCCTAGCCTTTTCACAAATGATCGCTTGAGAGATGCTATCTCCTGCTATCTGTTTTTCATTTATCCACACCAATAACAGTCTCTCAACATTTTCTAACACTTGCAGTCGCTGTTTTGTAATCACAGTTGCACCTTTTGCAACAGCAGCTTCCTTGATTGCCGTTTTCCTGGTCACTATAGTAAAGATGGTTGATTGGGGTTTTGTATACAACTTGGCCAGCTCCGACACACGCACTCCACTTTCGTACTTTGCAATTATCTCTTTCTTCATTTCAATAGTCATTAGCACCCTTGGTCTCGAAGGGTTGGCACTAGAAGCTTTCTTGGGACCCATTACCTGGAGTTTACCTGGAGAGAGTTCCGGGGGTCAACGCCCCCACGGCCCGGTCTGTGACCAGGCCTCCTGGTGGATCAGAGCCTGATCAACCAGGCTATTACTGCTGGCTGCACGCAAACCAACGTACGAGCCACAGCCCGGCTGATCAGGAACCGACTTTAGGTGCTTGTCCAGTGCCAGCTTGAAGACTGCCAGGGGTCTGTTGGTAATCCCCCTTATGTATGCTGGGAGGCAGTTGAACAGTCTCGGGCCCCTGACATTTATTGTATGGTCTCTTAACGTGCTAGTGACACCCCTGCTTTTCATTGGGGGGATGTTGCATCGTTCGGTGGCCCGGTGGCCTGGTGGCTAAAGCTCCCGCTTCACACACGGAGGGCCCGGGTTCGATTCCCGGCGGGTGGAAACATTTCGACACGTTTCCTTACACCTATTGTCCTGTTCACCTAGCAGCAAATAGGTACCTGGGTGTTAGTCGACTGGTGTGGGTCGCATCCTGGGGGACAAGATTAAGGACCCCAATGGAAATAAGTTAGACAGTCCTCGATGACGCACTGACTTTCTTGGGTTATCCTGGGTGGCTAACCCTCTGGGGTTAAAAATCCGAACGAAATCTTATCTTATCTTATCTTATCTTGTCTGCCAAGTCTTTTGCTTTCGTAGTGAGTGATTTTCATGTGCAAGTTCGGTACTAGTCCCTCTAGGATTTTCCAGGTGTATATAATCATGTATCTCTCCCGCTTGCATTCCAGGGAATACAGGTTCAGGAACCTCAAGTGCTCCCAATAATTGAGGTATTTTATCTCCGTTATGCTCGCCGTGAAGGTTCTCTGTACATTTTCTAGGTCAGCAATTTCACCTGCCTTGAAAGGTGCTGTTAGTGTGCAGCAATATTCCAGCCTAGATAGAACAAGTGACCTGAAGAGTGTCATCATGGGCTTGGCATCCCTCGTTTTGAAGGTTCTCATTATCCATCCTGTCATTTTTCTGGTGGTTAACGCTCTCGCTTCACACGGTGAGGGCCTGGGTTCGATTCCCAGCCAGAGTAGAAACATTGGACGTGTTTCTTTCCACCTGTTGTCTATGTTCCCCATCAGTAAAATGGGTACCTGGGTGTTAGTCGACTTGGGTGTTAGTCGACTGGTGTGGGTCGCATCCTGGGACACTGACCTAAGGAGGCCTGGTCACAGACCGGGCCGCGGGGGCGTTGACCCCCGGAACTCTCTCCAGATAAACTCCAGATGGTCCTTGAAGGTGAGATCCTCCGACATGATCACTCCCAGGTCTTTGACGTTGGTGTTTCGCTCTATTTTGTGGCCAGAATTTGTTTTGTACTCTGATGAAGATTTAATTTCCTCGTGTTTACCATATCTGAGTAATTGAAATTTCTCATCGTTGAACTTCATATTGTTTTCTGCAGCCCACTGAAAGATAAGATAAGAGATAAGATTTCGTTCGGATTTTTAACCCCGGAGGGTTAGCCACCCAGGATAACCCAAGAAAGTAAGTGCGTCATCGAGGACTGTCTAACTTATTTCCATTG